CCCCCCCCCCCCCCCCATCTTAAGTCCTCTATCTAGTTCCAGTTGCATTTTTTTATGTTGCAGCCACATTATTTCATGTTATGTTTTGCGATTGGAACACTTTTTGAAACTCGTTGTTCTTTTAATGGCAGGCATTCGAGTCTCCGGAAACGTTGAGCAAGTGTGTGGGCTTTTTGCGGCAGTACAGTACTGAAGTGAGCGCACTGGCGGCGTGCTTAGTCGTTCCAAGGAATTGTATTGCGTACCCACAGGTATCCAGTTGTGTCTGAAATTCCAGCCGTGATTCATCTGATGCAGTTTTCTTTGCTCATGTTATGCACACATTGCCTTTTATCGTTCGATGCACGTCTCCTTGCCCACAGGATAAATTGAAGGGCGTTGCAAATTTGCAGTTTGTTCGTTTGCACATTTCCTGTGGGGGTCCACTTCTCCTGCATCGATGTTATCGATGTTGCTTTACAAAGAAGATGCTAAATTTCGACAACGCTGGATCTCTGAGATGAAATTATTGAATCAATGAATCCTAAATTTTTGGAACGGATTCAACAGATTTGACTTGATATTGCAATCAAAACAAAAACTCAGAGAATGATGTACTATTTTACTCCATTTGGATTACACACACAAAAGAAATCTCTCTATCTTCTTGTATGTATGTATGTATGTATGTATGTATGTATGTATGTATGTATGTGTATGTATGTATGTATGTATGTATGTATGTGTATGTATGTATGTATGTATGTATGTATGTATGTATGTGTGAGTGGCTGCTGGAAGTCGATGACATGTTTGTGAGCAAAATGTGTGAGGGGCTGCTGGTTGGTGGGCAGATTTTGATTTTGACCAACCAAAACTGAAGGGATGGGTGGGCACGTGCGAAGCCCATGACTGGTTTGTGGGCAAAATTTCAAATTTCAAATTTCAAATTGTAAGCAATCGCAGCCGGATGTAAGAAGGGACAGGTGGTGTGCTTTGGGACTTGTGTGTTAAAATTGGAACGACACAGAGAAGACTAGGATTGCCCCTGCGCAAGGATGACACACACACACACACAGATGGAGAAATGATCCAAATTTAAAACAGAACAAAGCGAAGAAGGGACTTAATGATGAAAGAGTTGGCCTTGGCTGATGAGTTGTCTTTCTTCCTAAGAGTAGCCGGTCCTCCGTGCTCATCTGCCGGAATATATGGAAGGGAAGGGGGGGTTGTGATGGGAAGTCTTGGAGTAGCGAGATGGGTAGTAAGATGATGGGCACAGGCAGACAGGCAGGAAGACAGGTGGATGTACGTACGCATGTATAGACAGATGGATGTAAGGAAGGACGTGCAGACAGACCGGCCAACGCATGGACGGATTGACAGACATGTGGAATGATCAATCGACGGCTGGTCTGGCTGTAATGGTTGTCTTGTTGACGGGAACGGAAACCTTTGAACTGTTGAACTACGGACCCAAGCTCGAATCCAGTTGTACAAGATTAAAAAAGGGTGGTGACCGTGGTGTGGCTGTTATGTTTGTCTTTTTTATGGGAAAGGAAAAGGATGGTTTTGGCTGTAATGGTTGGCTTGTTGATGGGAAAAGGAAAGGGTGGTTCTACCAACGGGCTTAGCTCAGTTGGTATACCTACGGTCTTCACCCGAATAGAACGCCCGGTCATTATCGCTGTATTTACACTGGAAGTTGGCCCAGATACAGCTATAATGACCGGGCGTTCTATTTGGGTGAAGACGGTAGTAACTGTTAAAAGCGCAGCCGTGAGTTCAAAGTCCAAATCCAGCTGGAATCAGATGAACGAACCGGCTGTGATGTTTGTCTTGTTGATGGGAAAGGAAAAAAGGTGGTCTGGCGGTGATCTTTGTGTTGGTGATTGGAATGCGGTTCTGCGGTTCGTCGCAGGTTTATATTTCTTCTTCTATCGGAAAACTATGCGGGAGTCATGCAAAGAGTTTGAAAATACACTTGGGGAGTTGCAGAAAGAGTTTGAAAAATAGTAAATGGACAAAAAAGGAGTTTCAAATTGCGTTCGGGCAATGTATACAAGCTAGCTTTCCGGCCAGGTAGGGTTGTGTGGGGGGTGGTTATGTTTGCGGGAATGGCTTAAGTGTGTAATTTCAAACTGTTTTTGTGACTGTGCTGAAGTATACCCCTTCTGCTATTTCAAGCGCAGCATTTTACGAGCTTCACGGTAGGGGTGGTTATATTTAATGCTTTGTATACAAGCTTCAAGGTAGGGTTGCATGGGAGTGCGTTATGTTCAGGGGAATGGCTGAAGTGTAGTTTCACACTGTTTTTGTGACGTGCTGAAGTTACACCTTTGATTATTTTAAGCGCGCTGGTTTACTTTGAATTGTTTCTCCGATGGCAATCAGGTGTGGAATGGTCGGGGAGTAAAGAACTGGAGGTTTGGAGCGAAAGATGGATTCTTTGTGCAGCTGGAGATGCCGAAGAATCGACAACTGTGGTTTCTTCCAGCGTTCACAGAGAAGAATCCGAAATCTGTCAGGTATCTCTCATGGACTGGATTAGTTGGTCATCGGGTGCATCAAGTACATGTGATTGGATTGGAACCATTGGATGCTTTGTGATTGGCATTGGACCCCTTTGCTCGCCGGCGGCATGAACTACACAAGATTAGATGTGTTGTCATTCATATCGACTCCCCAGCAACATATTCTAAACTCATACGGTATTGTGCTGTCCCATTGCCTGCTAGATGTGTCTGTGCGGTGAGTTGATGATTGCTAGGATGATCCTCTAATAGCATGCATTTATCTGTACATGAACTGCCAAACGATGTTCCATTGAAATAAAGAAGGAAAGGCGAAGACAGGGAGAGAGACAAATTCATCGAAATGTTACGATCCTCGCCAATTTCCAAGTGCAAATTCATGAGAAAGTACAATGCCGCCCAATCATACTTGTGGCGCACCGGCACTGTGCGCGGACCCAGGGTGTGCGCGCACCAGCGCACGCTGCGCATCTGGGTGCGCTGCGCGAATGTGCGCAATTATATTTCCATGTTCTAGCGGTAGATTCATTTGATTTTGCTCTCTCTCTCTCTCTCTCTCTCTCTCTCTCTCTCTCTCTCTCTCTCTCTCTCTCTCTCT